TTCATCTCACCAAATACTAACTAGGCTACAAAGCTATCAGCGAATCCATATAGCACCAGAAGTCGCATTAACAATGAGTATTATAAGAAGAATATTTAAAATAATTAATTTAGAGGCTTATTATACTTGCATTTAATTGAATTTCATCTTAAAGTTTATTATATGGCTCTCAATCAAATATATTTCCAAATATTTGCTTTCTTGGCTCTCTGAGTTAAAAAGGTTGCCGACTCCTGGTCTAGCTACAGAAAGATTATGTGATTTGAACATGAGTACTTCATTGAATGTCACCAACTCTCGCAAGTAAACGAGCAGAGGGATCTAAATGTGCGCATGACGCCCACTTTCAAACCATCAACTCGCCGAGGCAAAATTGCAAGGCTGTGGGCATCGTAGGAGCGACCAGAGGATTCTGCCTTTGTTGTGACGAGGAGTTTCTGGTAGCACGTTTAAAGCATTTGCCTGACCGAGTTTCAGCTATTGCATTCAGGCGTGGTGATGCTGGATGAAGCAAGATTACACTCTATTGACGAAAGTTTTATGAGAGATGACCAAACTATTCAGCCGATTGGGGTGTCTACCTTACGAATGTCGACTAATTAGATAACGCTTTCAATAACTGAACTGTCTCGTATTCGCTTTTTATTTTACGATTTTTTAATAAAGCAGATTAGTTCTCATCTAATAAATAGTACTTTTAAAAACAGAAGTATGCTTTCTGTTTAACATGAGTCGTTTTTAATGCAGTTCGGGTGGTCTTGTATGAATTCACAACTGTATGTTCGCCATTTTAATATACTGAATTATATAGAGTAGAATTTAGAAACGCATGGATAGTAGGTAGAAGCTTTAACATCCGCCAGCAAATTATCCTATTTTTAAGCATCGGTAAACATCTCTAGAAACAACTGGTGACCTCAGAACGAAGCAGCGGAAAACTACTGCACTGAATGTGGGAGAAGAGTAAAGGGAGCTCACACTTTCAAAATAGGTCCAGAAGAGCAAACTCCTTTGCGAAGTGATGTGGAAGGCCCGAGTAGCTTGTTTCTGAACGTAGGAGGGAAAATAAATTGCATCCAGCAAGTGTATACAAAACGACATTATAGCCCTCGGGGATGCTAGTTCGCATGTGAACTCAAGGAAGACTGACAGCGGACGTGCAGACTCGAAATTAGACTAACCAGAATGGACTTTTATAATGAGCGGGATAAAAGGGAAGCAGTTTAAATCGCGCGACTCAAAGGGACTGCGGTTGTTCTTAGAAGGTGGATGGTTATAGTGGCATCATCTCAAAAACGTCCGCTGGTCGCTGAAAATATGATTATTTATTTATCGTGGTATGCGAGGAACGCCATGTAAATTCCCGGTGGTATTTTCCAGGGGCATGGAGAAAGCTGCTTGGAGGATAGTATGAAATTAAATGTTTTCTCGAATCAGTATAAAAACGACCTCGCAGTTTTCGCTTGAAAGTAGAGATGATATATAACAAGGTAATATAGATCGGCAGTTTAGTACAATTTTATGGATGACAAAGAGGGGGGTAGGGGCATAAATAATGGGGACATTTGGAATATTATTGAGGCAAGGAGGCGGACGGAAGCCTGCTTTCAGCCTATGAACCCAAAGAAATTTTATTTTCGTAAGCTGGCGTCTACTTTGTTAGTAACTATTTGAAAGTGTCGAACAAGAGAGTTTTCTCGTAAAACGTCCTTCAGTAAACCGAAGTATGAATAACAACATTCAAGAATAGGGGGAGAAATACATGATAAAGCCTTGCTTTAATTTCAGGAAGATGGAAATATAAAAATTTAAGCGTAAATCTGGGCAGCTATGGCCGTAATTTTTTCACCATGATGCGAGAAATTTAATTTATTGGTGTAACTTAAAACTAAGTACTTGAAAATGGAAAATTTAGTCACTGGGCGACCTTGAAAATTAGCAGGTTGCGGCAGCCTTTCATGGCTAAAACACAAGTAACAACACGCCGGAGATGAAAATTCCATTAACCGTGCAGAACTCCACATAGACAGCGCGAGTTTGTGCTAAGCATCGCTCGGCCGTATATTTTATTGTTTATTGTTCGATATAATATCGTTAATGAAAAAAACAAGGAAACAGGATCCATCAGAGAACTTTTGGAAACAGTTACGGTAGGAGCTTCGTCTGATAATGAGCACTCCAATAAGACTCTCTCTTTTCATTTAGATTGGTGTGACCCAATAAGGTTAACGAGGAGACTATGGAATCCCGGAGTTTAAGAATTCATTGTCTGCCCACCGGGATAAATTTGTGGATTTTCTGACGTTTCGCACAGCTGGGCCTGCTCTCCTTTGTCGAAACGAATAATGACTTTATCTATCAGCAAGCCTGAAGTTGCAGCTATGCGTGTTGGTCTTGGGTTGATTGATTTTTCTGTGGTTGCATTTTGGCCGTGTGTGCGGACTTAGGCTTGGCGTGACGGCAGTTCGTGTTCTGTTTCGTCCCCACGGTATAGGATGCTGGTAATCCTGCCCCTTCTTCCGGTGGTTTTGCCATAGTGCCGTCTTCGTTTGCAAGTCCCGGTTTCGGTTTGACCGTGTCCTGTCCTTTACTTACATAATGGCGTAGGACTTTGAGGGCGCTGGGAGGTCTAGATGTCTGTTGACAGAGTTGGCGTCTGGATACCATGTCTCAAGCGTCAATCTTTCAGCTTTTGAGGCTCCGCGGCCTACGATGGTCGTTCCTTGAATATTGCAGTCGTGGCCAGTCTCTCCGATGTGTTGCAAGCTGTGAGTTAGGGTCTAGTCTCCGGGTCGCCGCTTTGTGTTCTGAAGGCAGGTCTGCGATTTGCGCCCTGTTTGTCCAACGTTATTACAGTCTCCATCGTTGCAATGTATTTTGTGGATAACCGCTGACGTTTCAGTAGGGGGCAGTTTGCTTTTAGATTGCATCACTCGGCGGTGTATTGTCGCCTGAGGCCGATGGGCCATGCCTACTCCAGCGGGTAGACTGGAGTAGCCAGGTAAGCCATGTGAATCAGTGCTCTGGAAATGTTACGATTGTATTGACTGTGGCCTTTATGTAGCCAACCATTGGTTAATGATACTAGAGGTCTCAGGGTTGCAACCAGGAACATCGTTTTCAAAAGGGCAAAATAAGA